AAAGGCAATATTGGAGGTTTATTTAAGAGCACAAACTCCAGACAGACAAATGGGGACTCTCAATCTTGGGTTTGTTCACACACTGGCTATATGCATTGAATTCAGAACAGTAGGGGTGACACTGGTGACTACTTGATAAGAATGTTGTGAGCTCTGAATGGGATACAATACATGGGCTTGATACCTGGTAAGGATGATGTGTGAATTGCTGTTAGCATTTTGCTGAGCTTGGTATTACTGTTTCACTGTTGTGTATATTGTGCCCTCAATCTCTTAGGTGTCGGATTGGTGTTTATGTCATGGACAATATGCACAGCCTTGCGGTCAGTGGTTAGATGCAGTACAGTGATCTTTATGAATTTCTGTGACAGCACCTGTGGTGGTTTGGATAGGAATGACTCCCATAGACTCATATTTCAATGGTTAGGGAGTGACATTAAGTGTGGCCTGTTGGAGGAAGTGTGTCACTGGGGTGTGCTCTGGTGTTTCAAATGCCTAAGCCAGGACCAGGGGCTCTCTTCTTCCTACTGCCTGCGGATCCAGATGTAGAACTCTTAGCTACCTCTCCAGCACATTGTCTGCCTATGTGCCACCATACTTCCTGCAGTGACAATAATGGACTAAACCTGTAAGCCGGCACCAGTTAAATGCTTTCCTTTATAAGAGTTGCCGTGGTCATGGTGTCTCTTCACAGCAATAGAACACTGCCTAAGAAAGTGCCCATTCACTTGTATTTTGAAAACTCAAGGCAAAATGATTTGTCTTTAAATTTAGAAATGTAACATTTGAAGTAAGAGTTATGTGTATTTTCAGGCAAAGTTAATTGATAAATTTTTTTTTTATCAAGACTGTATTCAGAAAATATATTTAGTTCAGATTATATGACCTTTTCTTTTCCTAAAAAAAAAAAAGTTATCTCTGGGTAAAAGAGCCCTTTTATTAGCTCTTTGGTTCATGTGTCATATTGTCGACATGGTAGAGAGAGCTTTTGAAGGAGGACAGCATTTGAAATAAAGGAGTAAGTTTTCAGTCAGTCACAGCTTGAAACTCTTAACTTATTGAAAGGTTACCTTTGAATTGATTACATGCTTAAAACTTGAGAGTGCTGGACTGACTACCTGAAAGACTTCCCCTCTCTCTAGAGGTCAATAGCAGCAGTGCTGAGTAGTGATGAGAATTTTCCATGTGGCAGTTACTAGCCACACGTGGTTATTTGAATAATTAAAATTAAATAAAACAAACTATGTCAACTCCTCAGTTATATTTGCATGAAGTAAGTGTTCAGTAGCCACAGTGAAGTTAGATGGCAGTGCATGGATTCTATTTCCAGCTGCTTGCCTGGGTTTGCCTTTGAGTTTAGTATTTACTAGATCACGTGCTCTTGGGCAGGTTACTCAGTTTTTTGGTATGCCTTAATTTCTTCATAGTGTAAGGGGGCAGATGTTCTTTTCTTTCTTTGTTTGCTTGCTTATTTATTTATTTATTTATTTATTTATTTATTTGAGGTGCGGTTTCACTGTGTAGCCCTTGGCTGTCCTGGAACTCACTCTGTAGACCAGGCTGGACTGTAACTCACAGAGATCTGCCTGCTCTGCCTCCTGATTGCTAGGATTAAAGGTGTGGACTACCGCTGCCACCACCCAGCAGGACACATGTTCTTATAAGGTAGTTAATTGTGGGGAGACTGAGTCAATATTTGTAAAGTACTTAGACCAGCTCCTGGCAAGTGGTGAAAACATGTTTGTTAAATAAACAAGTGTTTATTAAGTAATCAACATTCAGATTTTTTTGTATTTTATATATTGTTTGGTAATCTTTCCATTCTTTCTCTATTTTCTGTTGACTTTTAATTTATTAATTTATTTCTCATATTCCAATCCCAGGTCCCCCTCCCTCCTCTTTTCTCCCTCCCCCCACTTTCCCCTGCTCCTCAGAGAGGGTAACATCTTCCCTAGGAAGTCCACTAAGTCTGTCCCAGCATCTCATTGAGGCAGGACCAAGGCACCTCTCCACCCCTCACACCCCTGTGTCTAGGTTGAGCAAGGTATCTCTCCATATAGAATGGGCTCCACTAAGTCAGTTTGTGCATTAGTGTTAGGTCTTGGACCCACTGCCAGTGGCCTCATATATTGCCCCAGCCACACCATTGTCACCTGTATTCAGGGAGTCTTGTTCCATCTTATTCTGGTTCCCCGTTTGTCAGACTGGAGTAAGTGATTTCTTACTAGCTTGGGTCAGCTGATTCTGTGGGTTCCCCCATTATGGTCTTGACTTCTTTGTTCATACTGATAAGTGTATTTTTTATTTTGACATTTTTTCTGCCCACCCTATAAGCAGTTATTGTGCACATCCAGGCTTCTGGACAGAGCAGTGCCTGTGTCAGCCTGCACCTTGCAGTTGCTGACTTTCTACCATCCTCATCTAGTCTGTTACTCCTGTTTCAGCTCACACTGCCTTTGTTTAAAACTATTTAATGCTGATGACTTCCCTCTTTAGACAGTGTGTAAACTCCCTTAGAATGTGCATCTCACTTATGCATGTAGTAATGTTCAAGGTGTGTTTGTTGAATAGAAGAACCATTTGGTTTTGAAAACTAGCTAGTATTTCTATTAATATCAAAACTCTATTTGTTTAAGTACTCTCTGAAGTGACAGGAACCCCAAACCCATTCCACCATCTGTGAGGCAGTCTGAAATGTGCTCCGAGAGTGTCTGCTTCTGTCCACGTGTCTCTGTGGAGAGGACCAAGATCATTTTCTGTTTACCACCCTTCACTAGTCTGCAATACTGTGACATGAAAATCACTGCTGTCAGCACCTCTGGATGACACTTTAAAACAGGATTCTGGGCCTGGTGTCTCAATTCTTTAAATTATCTCCTGTGTTTGTCCTGATTGTACTCAAACACTTATCACACAGGAAAACATAGTCTATATCAAAAAAGAAAGAATGCCATGTAATGTGGCAAGCAAGGTTTGATTTAGGGTTGTTGAATCCACGTGGGGAAAGAAAACCCCATACAACTAACTTGTAGGCTGATGTTTGCTTGTGGTGTGTGATACCACACATCCACTTATTAGTATGACAGTACACAACAGTGTTGATAGTTGCATTGAGATAACTTGTATGATTGTGTGTGCTACCTTACATTATGCTGGTAAAGAATGGATTGTTACAAAACTGCAGATACACATCAGTGTATGGCTTTTCATATGAAGACACTGAGACACTGAAGGTATCTGTGCTCTTTTGGGTTTTGTCAGGGTGGATGGAGTAGGAAATAACTGGGCATGGAAGAGCAGAGATACCCATATCAATTTGGGATAATTTAGAGTAGCTTTTTGAACATATGTCTATACACTACCTTATAGCATGTTTATTTATATATATATATATATATATATATATATATATATATATTTTGAGTACTGTTTTTTACTTAGCCATGACCTTGAGTTTTGGAGAAAGTTAATCTGAAGAATGCAGTGGTTCATACCGGATCTTGCCTGGTGTTCACTTTCCTATAGTTTACCATTTGTGGTGAATGCACATACAAATAACAGATAATTGGTAGATGTAATCAGTTGCCTAAGTACTGAGAGCATTCAATTCTTGGTATTACTTTATTACTGAAACAGACTGCCCAGTAGATATTATGGACATTCTCCAGAGAGTAATTTGGGTTGCAGTGAATTATTTTATTTAGATTGGTGCTTGGAATTAAATGTTTGTTTGTACCACTATCATAATATAATTTAAATGTCATTTAAACGTGCTGAAGCGTCTTCATTCAAGTAACTTGTGACTCTTTGAAAATGGGCTGCTTGAGTATTGTTTTTCTCCTGTTTGGCAGACACCAGATGCAGTGATTAATAAAGGTCATTATGCTACTTAGTCATAGAGAGCTTTAATGATGATTACCTGAACATCTGCTGGCTTCACTGACTTTACCAGAAACATTAACAAATTATACATGCTGGATCTCAAAAGTATGGCTCAGACTAATGAAAGTATTCCTTTAGAATGTTTGAATATTCCTTGAAGTTTTAAATAATTTTGTGAAGGCCCTTATCTTTCTGTAAAGTGCACAATCCAAAATGTCAATGAAGCAGTGTTTTGGAGTGGTGGTTCTGATAGCCCCCATTTCCTGCTTCTGGTTTCTCTCTTGTTGACTGGGTGTGTCTGAGTACATACTCGGTGTGCAGCTATGTTCTTCTGTATGTCGATTACCACGAGAAACCTGAATTTGGAAATGGGAGGTTTGGGATATGACTGAAGAAAGAAAAGGAAGTGTAACCGGGTCCCTTGCACAGCAGTTCTGTTTGTGGACTGAGACAACCAAGTGCACATTGGACAGATGCAGCAACTGGGCTAGAGAAGAAGTGAACATGGCTGCTAACTCCTGGGAAGATGCTTGCTTGGTGTCAGAAGTATGAGAATGATGTGTAGTGTTAAAATTACATATAGATGGTGAATGGCTCAGACTGTATAGGTAGTTGGACTCAGTAGGACACTTATAGTGGCTTTGAGGAACCAATTCTTTTTACATTCAGTCTTTGCCCTCTTGAGTGTGGGCTAGCTGCTGTGTTTGTGTCCTTAGGTCCAAAAGTCATCAGAAGGAAAAAGAAAAACAAAAAAAAATCTAGAGTGGATGATACGTGCGTAAGGAAAGCCACTGCTTTCTCCTAAACCACCAACCATCACCACGTGACCCCTATTGCAAGCTGTTAGGGAAACTGCTTTTTTAAAAAAACCTTGTAGCATTTTTATTATAACGATTTGGGTTCTTATTAGCAGAAAAATTATGCGAATATTTGATAGGAACCTGAAATGTTTAACAGTTCAGATACATACTAATGAAATGTCATTTGCCTGACACTGGCCCACCATGTGGATTCTGGGGACTGAGTTCAGGTCTTCAGGCTTGGTTGCAAGCCTGATGAGCCATTTAACTGGCTCCAATGTGATTTCTTTATTTTATTTTTATTTTTATTTTCTTCTTTTCAATGTGGAACACTTTATGAGTTTACATGTCATCCTTGGGCAGGAGCTATGCTAATTTAAATTTTCTCTGTATCATCCCAATTTTAGTAATGTGATGCCAAAGTGATCACCAATATGACTTTAAAAATATTATTTTTATTATTTTTAATTATGTAGGTGTGTGTCTTCATGTAGGTATGTACATAGGAGTTGAGTGCACGTGCCTGAAAAGGCTGGAGGCGTCAGGTACCCAAAGCTGCTGTAGTTACAGCTGGTTATAAGCTGCCTGATGTGGTGCTGGGATCCAAACTTGGTCATTTGGAAGAACAGCAAGTACTCCTAACTGCTGAGCATGCTCTCCAGTCCCGTGATTATTATTATTTTTTTAATGCATGAAGCACAGCTTTTTAAAAAAGTATTTTTTTGTCTTATATGTATGAGTGTTTTATGTATGTCTGTGCATTACATGTGTGCTTATTGCCTAAAGAGGTCAGAAGAGGCCTTTGGATCCCTGGAACTGGAGTTGCTGATGATTGTGGGCTCCCATGTAGGTACTAGGACTTGGACTTAGGTTCTCTGAAAGAGCAGCCAGTGCTCTTACCCACGGAGCCATCTCCAGCCCCTATTTTAAGAATTCTTGATGAAATTACTTGAAATTTTATTTTAGCTTCTTATCATATAGAGTATAATATTTTTCCTAGACTATAATCAAAGTAGATTTAGTTTAAGTGGTTTTTATTTTTTCTTGTTTTTTTGAGACAGGGTTTCGCTGTGTAACAGTCCTGGCTGTCCTGGAACTAGCTCTGTAGACCAGGCTGGCCTCGAACTCACTAAGATTCACCTGTCTCTGCCTCCCAAGTGCTGGAAGTAAAGGTGTGCACCAACACTGCCTGGCAGTTTTTATTTCTTTTTATACTTAATTTTTTCTGACTTTTAAAGAATTTATTGTTTTTAATTATGTGTATGTCTCTGTGTGGGTATATATACTTAAGTGCAGTTGCCCAAGGAGGTCAGAGGTATCAGATCCCAGTAGAGCTGGAGTTACAGGTGACTGTGAGCTGGCCATTGTAACGTGGTTGCTGGGAACTGAACTCGGGTTCATTGGAAGAACAACAGCAAAGGCTGAGCCATCTCTCCAGCCACTGTTTTCTGACTATTTAGGCAAGTAGTTATTTTCCCTACCTTATTTTAGTATGTGTGTGCCCCATCTTTAATTTTCTGTGTCTAGTCTTTAACTTGGAATGAAAGCAACCATCAACTTGCTCTTGCTTGTAAAAGTCATTTTGAATGAAAATAAATAAATTTGTTTTGAGAGACTTGTTTTTGAATAATGACCTTTATTACTATTTGGAAACATGCTTTTTACTTTTTAGAAACCTTTCCCCCTTCCTTCTTTGTTGGTTTCCAGGTCTCTGCTTTGTTGTTATTTGAGACAGAGGCAGAGGCAGAGGCAGAGGCAGGCGGATCTCTGTGAGTTCCAGGCCAGCCTGGTCTCCAGAGCGAGTGCCAGGATAGGCTCCAAAGCTATACAGAAACCCTGTCTCAAAAAACCAAAAGAAAACAACAACAACAACAACAACAAAAAACCCCCAGATTTCTTCTTTGCCCTTTAAGTTGAAAGTTTTCCTTCAAAGTGCCTGGAGTTCTTAATTAATATTAACAGTAGTTGATATTTGTTTTGTCCTTTGAGTTTTTTATTACTTCTTCAAAAACTGCATCTCCATTGTCTTCCATTTCTGGAGTTCTACTAGTAAGTATATGAAACTATTTCCTTGAGTTTTAAATGTCACCCATGCCCTTGTATTCCTTTCCTTTTTCTCTTCTAATCTATATTGGAAGATTTGTCTAAAGAGTTGATGTTCTCTTCAGTTGTATCTAATTTGGTGTCAAATTGAGTTTTTAATTTCAGTGATTGTATTGAATCTGATTCTTGAAAAAAAAATAACTCACCGGTTGTTGCCCCCCTCCCATTTCCTTTCTCCCTTTTTTCTCATTCCCTTCCTCCTCCCTTGATTGACAGATATCATGGATTTGTGTTATTCTGTGAGCAATCTAATACTAATTTCTAGAGTTGAGTAATGAGTGGATGAAGGTGTAGTCTCTTGATATGGGTTTTATGAGTGAATAATCTGTTATTTCTGGTATTCGTGTCCAAATCACATTTCCTTTAGTTTCATACAAGGAGAAATTCAAGTTAGTTAGAGAAATGTTATTCTAAAGTCTTGGATTCAAGTGTTGGTTGTTATTGGCAAGCTATGTATGACAACACAACATGATCTCGGCAGGTTATACTTGGCAATTGTTGTACCTTTATTTTGAATTCAACAAATGTTTGAATTCCATGGTCAGAATATGGTTGTGGGCTTACATAATAGTGAGACAAAAAAAAAAAATGCAAGGGATGATTGAAAGGAATACAAAGAAATTAGTGAGAAATTTTGTGTACAGGTGTGAAGGGGAAAATTGTTAAAATGATGCTAAACTTTTGAGTTTAAATCTTGGGATGCTAATGCTACTGGTGGAATAGGTAAATGAGGAGGGTGTTTGGCATTTATGAATTTTCTGCATGTAAATTGTGCTACCCCAAATATAAAAAGAGTTTGCTCAATCTTATTCTCATCCAAAAAAGTATTAGTTGACTTCACCAAGCCTGTGGTACAGCCAGTTATATGAGATGTAAAATTTCATAGCACCCCATCCACAGGTGGTATTGTAAGGATTAGTCTTTAAATCATATAGTTGTGATACATGTGCCAAAACTTTGACCATGCTAAGGAAGGAATTCAGCTCACAGCCTCATTGCTGCCTTGTTTGAAGAGGGTTAGGACTGACATCACAGGATTTATGGTAGTGTCTCTTTACAGTATTGAGTCATACATTTGTGGCTGACTCATTCTGACTCACTCATTTAAATTAACTGTCATTCAAAAACTCTTTCATTCTGTTTTTTTTTTTTTTGCTAGGTTCTAGGTTTTATTTCTCCCCAGTGAATAGAATCATTGTAGCAAGTTGCACATTGCTGAACATAGTCTTTGTTTTTTTTTTTTTAATTGATGTATATATGCCATGCTTCTAAGTACATTAAAAGCCTTTACACATAGTGTCTTGCATTTTGCTCTTTAGTCATGGCAGGAAGTGTCTAGTGAGAGCTAGTAGTGTGTGAGAATAGTGCGACAACAGACTCCTGTTAGTCTCAAGTGAGACAAGAGACTCATTAATTGAATGAACAAGTAAGCAATGCATTATTTAGTAAAAATGTACATCCCTTACATAAGGAATGTACTAAGTTTAATTGCAGCTAAATTAGTGTCTATTCTAGGAAGTACAGTCAGGCTGAGTATCTCAGTTTAGTAAAATAATCATGCTGGAACAGCTATTTCAAAGAAAATTTGATTCCATACAATTTCAGGAAAGGAATGTGATGGGATCTAAGTTAAGATCCTGGGTCCATAAACCTAACATAGTCTGTTGTAGAGAGCAGTGACTTTGTTAGGCTACTGATTGACACTTAACATGAAGTTAATTGGCTAGGACTTGGCATCAGAGGGTCCAGGATCTGACCCCTTAGGAGCTATGTACTGTTGGACCATTAACTTTCAAATCTGTTTTTGCATGCTTGCTGTGGTATCTGTGTCACAGGTTGTGATTAGTGATTCTGTAGCTTTATAGAGCACCAATTAGGTGTCAGGGTACTGTTCCAGGCACTGGTTAGACTAGCAAATAAAATGTTGCACACCAAGCAGTGAGTGTAGAAGAGGAGGCTGAAAACAAGCAGCATACAAACCAAGTGATGGTGACGTCAGACATTTCCTCAAGGAAGTGGCTGTTAGGTTGAAAAGTGGTATGAGTCAGCCATAGTGAATTTCATAAGGAACAGAAGGCAACTGGCTCCTAGGCATGAAGTGAAATCCCCTTATGGACTGTCACTTAAGTAACATCTTGAGGAAGCAAATGGCCTCCAAAGTCCATGCCACAAGCCGTGCAGTGGAAAACAGGTCCTGGTTAGAAGGATGTGGGCTGCACACAGCTGGCCAGTGAGTACTTTCTGTACTTATTGCTCATCCTTATTTAGTTCTTTGCATTTATACCAATCTAGAAGTGGTAGATTAGAAGATAAATTCTTGAAAATATGAAGTTTGGGCATAATAAAGCAAAATTTAAAATGCTCAGTGATTGTCAGAGGGTTTTTTTTTTTTCAGGTTGATTGCTGTATAATTTATATAAAATAAGATCCATCCATTTGAAGTACAGCTTGATGAATTTTGGTAATTTTACATAGTTGCATAATCACTGTCACTTCCTGATTCAGAAAAATTCTATCAAGAAGCCTAAACATTCTTTATTTCTTGTGCAGTGTGCTTTGACAGCCTCAGGCAACCACTGCTGAACTTTCTGACATCGTAATTCTGTGTTCTCTAGAATTTCCTATAAATGGGGTTACACAGTATGAGGTCTTCCGGTTTGAAATTGGTGTCAATCTATGCTATCAGTAGTTCTCTCTTTTTTTTTTTTTTTTTGTTAAGCAGCATTCCAAAGTATGAACTGACCACCATTTGCTGACCTGTTCACCAGCTGACATTTAGATTGTTCCTGGTTTTGGACTGTGTGAATGGTCACACAATCTTTATAAATAAGTGTTTTCATTTCTTTGGAATAAGTACTTGGCAGTGAAATGCTGGGTAGTGTGGCATAGTTTATCTTTAACATTTACAATTCCTCTCTTTAATGTGTCTGCATCATTTTGTCTTCTCAACACTATTGTCTGAGAGTTCTAGATGCTCCTCATTGTTTTTGCCACCTGGTCCTGTCATTCCTTTGACTTCATTTATAGTAGTATCTCATTGTAGTTTGATTTGCCTCCCTCTGATGATGAGTGATACAGTCTTTGAATATTTCTTGGCTGTTCAAGTATCTTCTTTTGTGATGTGTCCATTCAAATACATTTTTGCCTATCAAAAAAACCAACCTGTTATCTTTTTATATATGGAGTAGAATTTTTCTTACATATTCTGAGTAGAAATAAGCTCTTTATCAGATGGCATATGTCTTACAAATGTCTTCTAGTGTTTGGTTTGACTTTCATTTTTAAATAGTATTTCTAACAGAATAGGAGTTTTAATATTTTAGAAAG